ACACATCAAAATTGGGAGTTCTTGTCACAACATCCTCTTCTAAATAATGGTCTAACTTTGATGTTACATTGTTGACTTTTTTTCTTCGCTTTCTACTAATAAACAAATCATAATCTGAAACAATCTCTGAATCCCCAAAATTTGAACTTGTAGAAGATTCAACATTAGCATCAGTTCCCAAACTAAGTTTTCTTTGATACTCTTGCAACAAATCATAACAAAGTTGGCGAATCTTCGCAATTTCCTCTTCAGCTGTATCTCCATAAAGTTTATCAAAATAAAACTCCAACACACTAAGGGTTGGTTTGGGAAGTGGGTTGGCTTTTTGGCTTTTTTGACTATTTTAGCCTGGGCTAAATAGCTTGGTTTGGGAAGGGCTTTTTGACTTTTTGGATTTTTCGACTTTTTTTGTGAGAGAAGAGTGTAATGATTATGGGTTGGATGTGATGGTTTGTTTGTTGTGGCTAAAATAGCCTATTTTGTCTTTTGTAGCTAAAATAGCCAAAAAAGCCCACAAAATCACTTCCCAAACGGTGCCTAAGTTTGTACCTAGGATCAAGTACAATAGCAACCCCTATAAAACCATGTATAATAACCCAATATTTGTCAAACTTTCCCAACATTTTTGATACCAGATACTTCGATGCATTTGATTTCAACCAAGTCAACACATCAAAATTGGGAGTTCTTGTCACAACATCCTCTTCTAAATAATGGTCTAACTCTGATGTTACATTGTTGGCTTTTTTTCTTCGCTTTCTACTAATAAACAAATCATAATCTGAAACTACCTCTGAATCCCCAAAATTTGAACTTGTAGAAGATTCAACATTAGCATCAGTTCCCAAACTAAGTTTTCTTTGATACTCTTGCAACAAATCATAACAAAGTTGGCGAATCTTCACAATTTCCTCTTCAGCTGTATCTCCATAAAGTTTATCAAAATAAAACTCCAACACACTAAGTTTGTACCTAGGATCAAGTACAACAGCAACCCCTATAAGACCATGTATAATAACCAAATATTTGTCAAACTTTCCCAACATTTTTTATGCCATTGATCTAACAACCTCAATTGAACAAGAGAGCCATTGGGAGATAGTTATCCTAATCTCACATAAATTTGGAAAAGCAACATTAGCTGTGGGATATTTAGTTCCTGAAAACAATTCAGTTGCTCTATAAAATATTTTAAATCTCCCACAAATTTCTCGAGCGAACTCCCACTCCTCCTCACTTGGCAATGTTGTATATTGGGTCTCTTTATATTTCAAACGGTAAAATACATCCTTATATAACAAAGCAATTTGAAGCATCAAATATGTTGAATTCCACCTAGTAGCACAATCAAGTCCCATCTTTTTAGTATTCAAATTTTTTACTTGACGAGCTGTTTCTTCAAATTTTTCTACTCTTTTAGGAGTTGCTGTCCAATAAGCTACAGTATCCCAAATTTTCTCTACACCTACTCTTATCACATCCAATCCATCTTTGACAATCAAATTGAGAATATGTGCGCAACAACGAATATGAAACAAAGTCCCACCCAAAAGAAGAGAACTGCTATCCAATTTATCCAACAAAATGTTAATCATCGCATCATTGGTCGAACAATTATCAATAGTGATGGCAGACACTTTTCTATCAAGATCCCAATCCATCAAACAATTGAGCAAAGTATCACAAAGAACTTCTTTTGTGTGTGGACATATAACATAAATGAACCTAAAATCATAAATTAAAACATAAATTAATTTATATGCATATAATATATGATGCAACAACAATCTGTAATAAAGCATAAATTAATTTATATGCAAAAATATACCTCAAAATACGGCTTTGCAATGACCAAGAATCATCAATAAAGTGTGCCGTGACCGCCATGAACCCTTTCTTTTGATTACTAGAAGTCCACATATCAGTTGTGATTGCCACTTTACTTTGATTGCTCTGTACCAATCTCATTATCTTCTCTTTCTCATTCTCATAGATCTTCAAAATATCACTTTTTATTGTGTTTCGAGAAGGTACTTTAAACAATGGTTGAAGTGCCATCGAATATCTTTTGAACCCAATATGATCCACAATAGACAAAGGGTATTCATGCAAGATTATGGCATTTGAAAGCTCTCTCCTAGCAATATCTTCATCAAAACTATAAGAGACTTTCGGACTCTCCTTGTTAAAGTTGCTAGTTAAAACTCTTTGTCTCATGTCCATTCCCTCCCTTTTCTTAAGACAACTCCTATAGTGATCACGCAAATGTGAAGTTCCATGCTTCGGATTACCCCCAAGATGCTTCTTACAATAATTACATATGGCTTTCCACACGCCATCAATTTTTTCTTTCTTAAAGTGTTGCCACACAAAACTAGGGTTTTTTCTAGTAGCTAAACTAGAATCAGAATCATCTACATCAAGGACATTTTGATTGGGGAGGGGAGGCTGTGATGGTAGAGAGGTCTCACTCTCAACTGATATTGATGGTTGTAAACCATCAACGGGTAGTTGGGAGTTTGCTTGAGAGTTTGTTCCAACTTCCGACATTATCAATGCTTAAAAATCCTAAAGAACATAAATTAGAACACACACAATCATATTGATATTTCCTAACAACATTTTTGCATAAAAAAGGAAAAAACAAGAGAAGAAGAAATAACAAATTCTAGGAAATTGAGTTACACCAAATGATTAGAACATGGATTTCATACCCATATAAGGAACAAACATCCAACAATTTATATTAACAAGTTCAATTCAACTAAAATTGGATTCACATAGACACAAATGGAAGATCTATTCACTCAATATCAATAACTGCGCTGGATTTGGTTATATCATAAGGAGGGAGAGGGAAAGGGACAGTGAAATGTAAAAAATAAATAAGGATCAAACACATAACACTATAGCATAATTATTAATAATTATATACTACACTTCACACACAGATCTCACACCAAACTGGAACAGCCTTTGATCTAGGGAGCACCTTTTTGGTTTACCTCATCCAAAATTATAATTATTAATAATTATAATAATTATTAATTATTAATAATTTCAACTATATATTTGTAAATTAGTTTCAATCCTATGATCATTCCAGTTATCTTATCTAACAGTGAGAAATTAAAATATACATAACACTATAGCATAATATGAACCAACATTTTTGGATTAATTACATCCCATTTTATAACAATGACCATGATTTTGGGTTACTTGGTCCATCCTACACAATCACATCAAGATCAATCCTTTTTTCCCCCTCAAAAAAATGTCAAGAATGTTTAAGGCTAAAGTAACTTAAAAGTATGAACTTTTTCTTCTTTTTTTTCAACTTTAAGTTTTTGGTTACTCTATCTTCTTATTCTACTCTATTCAAGATTTCTATTCAAGTTAGGAGAGCATATATTATGATTTTAAATAATTTTATAGCTGGTGGGATTTGAACCCACATCATGATATAACCATGTCCTTAAAAACCTATTGTATAAAATGTGTCAAAATTATTTTGTTTTATTTATTTACTAATGTTTCACATCATTTTTTTCATAGTTTAAGCTGGATCTTATGATTCTCAATTCAAACTGATTCACAATACCCAAAACTAGAATTTGGATACACAATATGATTCTTAATATCAGAACTATAGTTCCAATTACAAATATATAAAAGCAGATCAAAGAAAAATCACAAATATATAGGAGTGTTGATTAAGGAGAGAAGGATTCTACACAGGTCATGTGATTATATTCACTAGAAACTTTGAGCAACTAAACTCACCCACTAAGGTTATTTTTGGATCATAGATTTGAGAAAAGATTTGTAAAGGGAAAGGAAAAAGTGACAATTCTAACTTCTAGTTTTGTCACTTTTCTCTTCCACAAATCCAAATAAATCTCTTCAATGTTAGCCAAATTTAGTCATAAGGCTCTCAAAATCTATTAATATATCTTGCAGAAATCCATATCTCTTTAATCTTAAAATAGATAAAACAATGCCCAATTAATGTGTGTTTGGGTGGGCAAAGATTGTGTACACGCCTAACCTTTGGTATAGTGCACAAATTGGTTATCACAAGACTTAAATCCACAACCTCAAGGTTATTAGGCCAAGGTTTTGAACAAATGGTCATCCCTGTATTTCTTAAACAATTAAATCCAAGACCATTTATGTCAAATCCAAGACCATTTATGTCAAGGTTATTAGGCCAAGGTTTTACCATTGAACAAATGGTCATCCCTGTATTTCTTAAACAATTAAATCCAAGACCATTTATCCAATGACAAAATCCAATACAAATGATAGAAAAAAACACTAAAGCCCTTTACCCCAAGAACCAAAGACATCTCATCCCAGGGCAAGAAGATGCTATAGATATTGCATAGTGTTTTACGAATATAAGAAACTTATCATGTGTTTTATTTACTATGTACTAACCAATGACACATTATATTTTTACATGAAATTATTACCACCCAACACATTGCATTGTGCTTAATAACTTTGACATTATCAACAATTTCAAATGAAGTGATTAAACAATTAAAAGCACTTCAACAATTATACAATCAAACAATTAAGCAATAAAGTACTTAAAAAATTAAGTAAATGATATAAACAATTAACCAAGTAATTTAACAATAAATATATAGGCTACAAATTACTGTTTGACCATTATCACCGCCAAAGGATAAAATATAAAAATAAACAGAAGTATGGAATCTAAGCCAAAATATAAAATCTTAGGCATTAGTCTTCAATCTGTTGATTATGGTTGAGGCTCTCTATTTATTTGGGGACTTTAACAGGATGAAGCCAACACATAAAATTATTTACTATGTACTAACCAATGACACATTATATTTTTACATAAAATTATTACCACCCAACACATTGCATTGTGCTTAATAACTTTGACATTATCAACAATTTCAAATGAAGTGATTAAACAATTAAAAGCACTTAAACAATTATACAATCAAACAATTAAGCAATAAAGTACTTAAAAAATTAAGTAAATGATATAAACAATTAACCAAGTAATTTAACAATAAATATATAGGCTACAAATTACTGTTTGACCATTATCACCGCCAAAGGATAAAATATAAAAATAAACAGAAGTATGGAATCTAAGCCAAAATATAAAATCTTAGGCATTAGTCTTCAATCTGTTGATTATGGTTGAGGCTCTCTATTTATTTGGGGACTTTAACAGGATGAAGCCATCACATAAAAGTATAATGGGTTTCATTAGATCAAAGGGTTGATATCTCATCTTTAATGAATCAAACACAATTATAGAAGTGTGTAGCTCAGTGCTCCTCACACGCCTCAACCACCTCCACAGCACTTCATTAACGTCGCCTCGCCTCAGAGTTGAAGTGCCATAGGTGCACCTCGCTATGATCATTCCAGTTATCTTATCTAACAGTGAGAAATTAAAATATACATAACACTATAGCATAATATGAAGAAACGTCTATATCACGAATCGTCTCCCATTTTCCATAATAATTTGGGCCATGTTTCTGTTTCCTGGTATCAGTGTTGGCCATCTATCAATTGCTAATATTTTAGGCATTGTTCATGGTTGATTTAGTGTATTTCTACTGGGCTGTGGCTCACCCTATATGGGAATATCATTTTCAGGTGCAGGTAGCATGCCACCTCCAAGGACATAGCTGGGAGGCTAGAGGCAGGCATACTTTTGTTGCTTAACTTTTGATGTATTACACGTAACTTCAAGCTAAGGGCTTAATGTGTAAACGAGTTAGTACTCTTTTGTTGTAACCAAGTGTTAACTTGGAAAGCTGTAAGCCCGTAGGGCATTTTGTTATGATGTTAACATGTAATACTTATGTAATGGAACTCTAATGAATAAAAGAATGTGGTTAGTTTATATGTAAATGCATGTCTTATCTGATGGGTTTATTGTTATTATTTTGAGGGCGTTACACAAAACTCACCAAAACAGTCAAAAAGTTTATCACAACTCAATCAAACTCACCACTTTATCTAATTATATGATGTTTATAATGTCCTCCCTGTAAAACTGTTGATCATTTTTACGTTAGTAGTTAATTATAATAATTTCATCATATAGTATACCCAATTTAATATAATTTTTGTAGCCACTTTGTGCAAATAATGTTAAAAAGTTAGCCTGGGAAATGCAGATGGGACCAGTTTACTGGGTAAAGCACAAAAAAAATCTAATTCAAAACCTCCATATTCTTTCCTTTAATATAAATAAATAAACAATCACAAAACAAAAATAAAGAACATGTTTAAAGATATGAAATGAAATACCTTCAACCAGAGAAATGCAGAGCAGACTTCTCTTGTTTATGCAATGGAGTGATCTGCACAAGAGAAGAGGATGTTAAATGAAGAACGATAATCAACAAAATCCTCATAGTACATGAAAACCAAAGTGTCCTGTTCCAAAAAACCAGAACAAAAGGTTGAAGAACAAAAGTTTGTAAATAACCAGGACAATCAATCAAAAGTTTAAAAATAAATTTCCCCAAAAATCAATCATCAACTAGGTATTTGCCCATATGGGTTTCTCAATCAGACCCAAAAACAAAGCAAAAATAGCCGAAGAAGAGAGAGAGAGAGAGAGAGAGAGAGAGAGAGAGAGAGAAAGAGAGAGAAATGAGAGATCGAACTCACCACGCTGGAGAACTGTGTTAAGCGCTAACGAGATCGCCGGGGAACTCTAGCTGCTTTCGATGCTTAACTCTGATTTGGAGTTGGAGTGGGAGTGGGAGAGTGGGAGTGGTGAGAGAGAGTGAGAAAACCCTAGCTGTGAAGAGAGGATGTCAAAACATACGGAGAGATGAGCCTGACCCATTCCCCGCCCCATTCCCCGATGGGGAATTAAATTTGATTACCCACTGACCCGATGGATAAAAAAATAGGGGAAACCCACTTATTTCGGGTAGGATCTCCATGGGTAACCATTGGGTACGGTTTCTATTGCCATTCCTACCAACAGCACTGAAAACACTTTCACGCGTATCAATAAGCTCGAGCAACTGCTTCAAGGATTACTCTTTTTCCTGTACAGATGAAGAATTCTGCCGCAACTGCTCAGTGCATTGGGCAACACTAGCCAGTGTTCCATGTGGGTCTTCCATGTTACTACACTCTCTGCAGGTAATTTGGGAATGTAAGGTACTTGAGCAGTAAAAATCATCTATTTTTAAACCATTGCAACACCATTAAAACTGATCTGGGCCAACAATGTACTATTAAGGCCCCACATAAAGCCTACACAATGCAGATGCTGAATGATTTCTTTAACAACATTAGTATTTCCAGGAGCAAAGAAAAAAAGGGCTAATGACTCCATAGACAAAGAGAAGTGAAGGTTGTCAGTTCAAGTTGAAGGCACAACAGGGAGCAGGAGTTCGAAGAGAACGTGGGTCGACAGCCCTAAGTTACATGACAGCCTACCAAGGGGAAGCCCCAATAGAGCAGAAATAAAATAAATGTTAATTTTAAATAAACACAAGTTACTGGGGTAAGTTTTATTAATGACATTAGTTGAATTTTAGTCAATACATTAATATATTTCCTTTTTTCAGGTAAGCAATTCATATAAGCATTCAGAAGAGAATTTTAAAAAGGTAAAATATTATAAATGAGGTGTCTTCTGAATAAGATATTTCACTCTAGCAAAAACTATGAACTTGACATTGACAGGTATGTCCACAATCAGAGTTATCCCTTAGATCTTTCTCTCATTTTCTGCTTTGAGGGGCAAAAATCGTTTGTGATACAGTGAAGCTGGATGCCCAATAGCAATAACTGCTTCATAAAGATAAAATTGAATGCAGGATAAATTGTTTAGAGCATGATAATTTTTTGATTAGAATGCTGTATTGATGAGCCAATAGAAGCCTCAATCAGTGTTTGCCAATGTCTGCAGTGAGCAGGCAGATTTCAACTAAAGAAATGCTTGCCAAAGAATATTAAAATGTGATTCTAGCATAGAAAACTCACAAGAACAGGGTCCCCAGAAATTGCAAATTGGAAGACTATTTGGCTCTTAATTGCAGGAGCTGATAATAATTGAACTAACCTTGAACCCATTTTTATAAGTGAATGTGGAGTTGGCGGCTCTAAATCATGATGTTTAGCATCCCCATATCTCTCCTGAAATAAAAAAAATTAGATAGTTGTGGTCACCACTAGATATAGAAGCAAAGAAAATGTTATCAACATAATTATTCAAAAGGATGCTGCCCACCCTAAAGATTCTAATCAAGAAAATAGGAAGCCACAAGAGTAATAACATGAAAGTGATACAGCATGTTGTGTAAGAATGCAAAATATATCCACTATTACCCAAATTGCTCCAAAATTCAAGTCTCAAAAAGGCAAACCAATCGTTTATTGTACGTAGAAATAAGCACATAGGTAGGGATGTAAGAAAAACTGAAAAAATAGACCAAATCAATTGAACCAAACCAAACTGGTTATATTTGGTCTATTTTTTAACAAAAATCAGTCTGTGTGGTTTTTAAATTTAAATTTTTTCAATTTTCGGTTCGGTATCAGTTCAAGCACCTTGTGCACCAAACTACACCAAAACCGACCGCTTCAACATATATTATGTTTATAATATATATAGGCCCCGTTTGGTAGAGTTGTGGGAAAGTGATTATAGCTTATAGTTTAACAACTTATAGCTTATAACTATGAATATAAGCTGATTTTTGACTTATAAATTAAGTTTCTCCTCCCTCACTCAAAGAATAAGTTGATTTTTGACTTACAAAAAGCTATAAGTTGTATTATTAAGCTGAACCAAACATATTAAAATAGCTTAAATTAAGCTAAAAGCTTAAATAAGCTGGAAATAAGCCCTACCAAACAGGGCCATTGTATTCTAACAACATTCCTTCTCTCGCAATGATACTTCCCCGACTCGAATTAATGATGGTTCTTATACCACTTGTTGAACTAAAATCTCTCTTAAAATTAATTGACATTGTTGGATAAATTCTTCTTTAATTCTTCAGTTGGTGGTCTTCGGGTCTTCAAAACTTGGTGAAGATCTTGTCTATGTAGAATAGAAATTTGGTGCTTCAAATAGCGTTACTTATTTGCTTTATTAAAGACAATATTTGCACCCACCAAAAGGTGTGCAGGGGTTATAACTATGAATATAAGCTGATTTTTTACTTATAAATTAAGTTTCTCCTCTCCCACTCAAAGAATAAGTTGATTTTTGACTTACAAAAAGCTATAAGTTGTATTATTAAGCTGAACCAAACACATCAAAATAGCTTAAATTAAGCTAAAAGCTGAAAATAAGCCCTACCAAACAAGGCCATAATCTAATAATATAATGATATTGATAAGGGTAATAAATTATTAACCTTATCATCCTTATAACCTAAGTTTGTAAACTCTTATTATATATAATTTTAACTCTGACTCATTATTTTTGAAACTTTAGTATTTTTTAACTTTTTTTTTTTTGTTTTTATTTTTGTTAATCTAGGAATTGAAAAGTATTTTATTAAATGGATGGATTGGATATGTTTGAAATGGTAGACAAATAACTAATTTATTTTTTATATAGATTAGTGATTATATTTAAAAGTGGCTCAAGTTTGAAAGGTCTTAGACCAATTTAACTGTATCGAACTAAACCGTTTCAATCGGTTCGGTTGCTAGGAGAAGCAGTCTGTATCGGTGTTCAAAATAATAAAACCGACATTATCGGTTTGGTAAATTTTTTTACCTAAATACTGACCATACCAAACTAATTACATCCCCACACATAAGTACCAGATCATTAGTGGCAAGGCTGCTGCCATTGTTGGGAGCAAACCTCCAAGCTAGTGTCGCCGCCAGCTTTGCTGATGATTTGAGATCTTCATATCTGCCTCCAAAACACAGTCAAAAGAATAAAGCCTCCTACAAAACAACATCAAATTTCAAAAATGTCAAATTTTAGGACCCAAAAAAATAAAAACAAATTTGTGCTTACCAATTTGTCCATAAATCAACACCAATTGAATTAAAATTACTTCAAAACAAACAAACTTCAATACATTCCTTAAAAGAATGTGAATCAATCCAAAGACACATGAATAGCTTTAGATCAAATATAAATTACAAACATACCAAGAATGTCAAAAGCAACTGAACTATAATATAAACCACTTCAAAACAACTTCTTACTGGATTCATCTACACTAATTATGATAATTAAACACCATTAAAACCCAACTAGAGGCGCAATGTAGTGCCTTAATTGAATTTACACAATAAAAACAAAAACCCAATAAATTCCAAAGAGATTCAACAGAATTCCCCCGAATTAGCTTAGCAAAATAGTAGATCAACATGTATTGACATCAAAACTCAACTTCTACTAAAATTCAATAGAACTTAAAAGGCTACAAATGAGAAATTGAACTAGCAAAGGCACAAACAGTAGTGACTAACATCAGAATCAATGAGAAATCATAACATTTTGTACACTCAAGGAGAACAGGATCTGAAGAGAAAACAAAAGAAATATATGAATTTGTTCAATTAACTCTTGAGACGGTCGAAGACAAAGAAGGAAGTTGATAGACCGCGGGAAAACAGTCTGCGATAAATGTAGAGAAAGAGTAGAGAGAGAGAGAGAGAGAGAGAGAGAGAGAGTATAGACAATCACTCAATGCAAAGCAATTTAAGATGGGGGAGAATAATTAGTAGAATGTACAAAAAGGCATTTGCTTTACATTGAAGGGGAAAAAAAATTACTCATTTCCTAAAATCCCAGGCGATAGTGAAAATGAGCCGCAATGGCAGAAAGCTCAGGATTAGGGAGAGGAGAGGAGATGAGAGGAGAGGAGAGGAGAGGAGGGTTACCTGGACTGGAGATCTGCCCACGCCGGTGCTGTTGCCGTTGCGAGAGAGAGACAGAGTAAAATTAGGGCTGGGCGCAAGAGAGAGGGAGACGGAGAGGGAGGGGGGGGTGGGGAGAGAGAGAGAGGCGCAAAAGTTGAAGCTTAGGGGATTAACAAAAACACGAGTTTACGATTGTGTTTGAGCTTTGGACATAAGGGAAAGGGGGAGAGAGAGGCGCAAAAGTTTTTGCGACGGTTTGAAAGGCCGTCGCAAATTAACAAAAATGCAAAAAAAATAAAAATAAAATTTTGCCAGGGTTTTGGGTTATCCGTCTCTGATAATAGTATTTATCCCCTGCCTTTTTTGGTGACAGTCACTTACTGTCACAAAAAAACAATTTTGCAACAGATTTTTTTCAGTCACAAAAGCCTATTTTTTGTGACGATTTTTAAACTGCTGCAAAAAGTTCCATGTCTAAAGCCCCATTTTCTAGTAGTGACTCTTTTCCAAAAGGGATATGGCTCAGATGCAAACTTCCACCACCACTTAATCAAGAGAGCTTCATTCTTAATTTTTAGATTAGAACTACCAAGAACTTTGCCAGGGTTTTGGGTTTTCCGTCTCTGATAATAGTATTTATCCCCTGCCTTTTTTTGGTGACAGTCACTTACTGTCACAAAAAAACAATTTTGCAATAGATTTTTTTCAGTCACAAAAGCCTATTTTTTGTGACGATTTTTAAACTGCTGCAAAAAAGTACCATGTCTAAAGCCCCATTTTCTAGTAGTGACTCTTTTCCAAAAGGGATATGGCTCAGATGCAAACTTCCACCACCACTTAATCAAGAGAGCTTCATTCTTAATTTTTAGATTAGAACTACCAAGAACCATAAATCTATGTAATGAATCTTTCATCAGATGTAATTATGCTCATTGTAATTATAGCCACAGGGTTAATATTCAATGTTTGTTGGCTTGATTTGTTTTGTCAAAAAGACTGACGTTAAACTTATAGTAGTCAGGATTAAGGAGGTTGTTGAAAGATTATTTCCTTTGCCATTTCAGGCATGGAATTACTAATTTATGTAGTAACTCTGTTCATGTGACTTGAGTTTAGAAGGTGAAATCTTTTCTCCCATCTCTTTTAGAAAAAAAATTCTCTCTTAAAAACTCAATTGAATAACCTAAAAAAGAATTTGCAATCATTGCTGCAAAATGTGAAAAGATGCAGAGGGCAACTGAAGCCAAACAACATGAATCAAATTTCAACACTGAGATTATTTGATGAACAAAGTCAATATATACTAAAGATTAAAAGTAAATATATAGTACAAGGAACATACATGGACAATACAAACAAGGATGGGAATCGTCTAAAGCAAGCAAAAGATGAGGACAATACCATTTAGCCAATCTAAGCCTTGTTTATGCCTGACATGAACATATGTACAACAGATAGAACATACAGACCATAAGAAAGGCTAGAAAGCCAAAGCAGCAACAACAGTAGCATCGGCATAAAACCAGTCAATTTACCACTGAGCTTTTATAGATGACACATGCACAAAAGGAACAGCAACAAATACAGTATGATAAAAAAAGCAACTCGGTTTATCAACCAAAAAATAAAAAAAAAAAGCAACACGACCAGAAGCAAGGAAACAATAACAACAATACAGAATCATCAAGCCACTGCATATCTAGATTCATCAAACCTTCTTTAGGTCTTCAACAAGATGCAACATTTCTTTAAATCAGATGCAACATTTACTTTATCGAACGCAACAAAAAATGATTGAAAGAGTTGATACCATCCTTTGGTAGCTCTTTTTGTTTCCCAAGGAAAGCGATAGCTGGGGCAAAGCAAATAAATGAATGTATCGAACCTGGAAATGAAAACAATAACAACAATGACAATTAAACATTTGACAAGCATCAATCGAAACTTAAACCACGTGAAACCTAAATAACGTTTAGCTAGCATAGATAACATTCACACCTTGAACAACTTTTACTAAAATCTGAAAACACCACAGGGAAAAAAAAATAATAAGATAATAAATAAAATAAAAGAGTAGTTAGTGTGTGAGTAAAAATCTGACCACACTGCCCGTCTTAGTGATCAACTGGAGAGCACCGGCAGAATAGATGGCTTTAGCTAACCTGTAACAGAAAGAAAAGGCTCCGGCGGTGGTTCTTCCACCCGGGGGCACTCTGACGATCAAGTCAGTATATCTCTCAAAGATAATCAAGTGCTAAACTTATTGCTCAAAACATAAATTGCGTACCTTAGACCCACGGGGGTGCCTCTCTTTTATAATTAACTCAATCCAAGTCCCACTAGAAGCATGACTTCTATGGACTCCAATTCAGTGCTTACTTTGGATTTCTCAAGAGATAAAGATAAACTCCCTAAGAGCTTTATCCTTATCTTGGCTGAGTCTCCTCTTTGTCTTAGGACTCCTGTCCTCCATCCGATTATCTTCGGAGATAACCTCGGCAACTCCGGGATCACCTCGGTATAACTACCACGACACGTGGAACCTCGGCTAACACATCGGCGTCACCATGCCACGTGTTGGTACTTCAGAAAATATATCCCCACAACTGCCCTCTAGGTTCTATTACCTTGGCATTCTGAGGTGATGGAACCTATATCATTCCTCTTTTCAATATGTCGGCGTAATAACTCTTCAGCCGAGATCGTTCAGTCTAGGCCGACATGTCTCCATCAGAGTAAGAACTTAAACGAACTTCCCCACGCGCATGAGCTGTCATGCATCACTTCTCAACCGTCCCACTTACGTGTTTTATCTTCATTGGCCCGTGCTTGCGACGCGCTTGTAAGTTAGCGCCCATTCGTCTGCGCGGTCTGACGTATCCGGTGCTCCAGGCGCAATAAATGCCCTGTTTTGCCGCCGTTTTAAGTTTTTGATAAAACTTTTCTTTCCCTCTTCACCTCTTTACTTTCTTTCCCTCTTCCTTTTTCCACTTTTTGCATTCTGATTTCTTGCTTTTTCTCTCTCTAAAGCTCTTTTTCTTTGAATCTGCCATTGCTCTAAGCTCCAAACTCTGCGACCGTCTTCATTCTTCCATACCTGTGAAGCTTTCGCCACTGTTACAACCGTCGTCTGATCTCGGCGAATATCGCTCTGGCTTCACTTTATTCGATAAGCAACTGGCCCCCGTACCCCCATTTTTTTAGTTTCTTGATTGTTTCTGGAGTTTCTTATTATTACTGTTCTGCTCAGGCATTATTTGTGAATCATTCACCTGAAATGCGTCTTATTTCATGATTTTGCACATGTCATGAACACTTGCACTGTTTCACCACTGTTCTTGGCCTTTAACCCCTTGTATTCTTCGTGTTTCTGATAGCCCATTTTTGTTCTTGAATCTGAAACTTCGTCTTTGTTTTCTGCTTTTCGTATCTGTTCCAAATCTGTGCCCTCGATCTTCGTTTTTATAGTTTTAGGTTTGGGATTTGTCTGTAGAGCCTTCAATCTTTAGGGAAAACTGAAACAAACCTTACCAGTCCTTACCTCAGATTCGAAACTGAGGTTCTAGCCACCCTTCTGAAACACCTATCTTCTGAAACATAGCCTTCTTTGTTTAGGCCGACGTAATGGGTATGTGGAGACATCGGGTAGATACCCCAACTAAACTTGAACTCTTTAGGCAAGAATTCTCCATTCCAGTTGATGTTCACCTAAGACTAGCTGGGGATGATGATTCTATCATGCCCACAGACAGTTCAATACCCTTTCCCATAGTAGCCTTTACTGAATGTGGACTTCGACTTCCACTTAATCCCCTCTTTCGTGAAGTTCTTCATTACTACAGGCTGAACCCCATGCAACTTACTATCAACTCCTATAGGGTGATTAATGGTGCCATAGCCTTAGCTAGGCAGGAGAATATTAGGATCACCCTAGCCGACCTCCAATACTGTTATACAATGTGTCCCTTCAACCTGAAGGAAAAGGGCTTTGTTTATTACCTTAAGCCGAGGTCTACCGAATTCAAAATTATAGCCGACCTCCCAGACTCTAACAAGGGGGCTAGGAATGGCTATGTTATTGCTTCGGGAAATTGGGAGTTCGGCCCAGATGAAGATGTCCATATTTACCCTCTTCCTCGGACAGTTAAAGAGGGCAAGGGTAAGAGCCCAACGTCAATACTTAGTTGCTTTTTTCAAGTCTTCAATACTTCGTCTGTTTCTAATGTCTGTTTGCTTGTCTTGCAGATCTTCATCAGCCACCAAAAAACTTCCGCCAATCCTTTTCTCCAGGAAAGATTTGAAGAAACTCCTGGATCTGCCAATTCAAAAGCACAAGGCTCCACTGCTACTGAATTTTATCCCGACGTACAAGTCTACACTGCCCGACATCCCAAAAAGAAAGAAGAAGAGCCTATCTCCTCCTATTGCCACCACTCAAACTGCCTCTACATCACGAACAGATCAAGGGTCAACCTCTGATCCAACCGATCAACCATCAACTTCAGCCCCATACTTAATACCAATACCCGAACGCAAACGCCGGCGCAGATTGGTAAAAACTGTCGAGATGGTTCGCCCAAAGCCTGTCGCCCAAGATCTCCTAGTCGACCTTCCAACCGACGTCGATGCTGAACCAACCCAATCCATGCCCCCACCAAAGCCAAAAAGAACAAAAAGGGCTCAACCAAAGGCCAAAGTGACTCAGGTTGAATCTGAGGACACTTTGCCTATTTCCAAACTTGCTCAGAGTAAGAAGACTTTTTCTGCTCCTGCAAAAAGGTCCGCTGAGACCCAACCCTCTGAGTCCACTCAGTCGAAGAAGCCGAGGTCTGCCTCAGCTACTACTTCGGGATCTAAGAAACCTGATGTCCCCTGGGCCCCCAAGTTGACTTTGGAGGACAGGCCAATTATGTCAAATGAAGCGCCGACGACATTAATGTCGGGGTCGCCCTCAGTACTGCTCTTCTCCTTCCAAGGGATCTGGAGCGAAATGATGAGTATAGCGAGTATGAGAACTACGCTCTAATGCTCCAACACGCCGTTCAAGTAAGTGTTCGTGTTTTGAACTTTTGACTTTTCTTTCTGCTTCATACTTAGAAGATTTTCTAACACTTATGTTTTTCTTTCAGGCCA